AATTAGTCGCACACCAGCAGAGAGCACTTGTCTCCCCGAACAGCTGGGCAGAGGGAAGTCTTTGCTATCCTCTATTCAACGCCCTGGAAGAAGGAGTTGGGAGAAACAAACTAAGACATCAAACCAGAGCGAGACCCAGCAGGTGGAAAGGAGAAGTTGGTAAATTAGTAAAACTGCATGTATGCAAACGGGAAACGTTTCAGGCTCACCTAAAAGAATGTGTATTTCCATGCACCTCTGTGCCAGTGCTGTTTTTGCTCCAAGAGCTATTCTGACAAGACATGGACTCATTGGAGGACACATCAGCATCCTGTGACACCACAGGGATGAGAGCAGCCTATCTAGGAGCAGCAAGCTGGTCTGCAACCAGTGGCACCAGCGTCCTCAGCATCCTCTTAGGGCTCTGAGCTCACAGGTATCTGCAGAGCAGTCCTCACCCTCTGTGCTTTGTCCCTGCTCCATCCCACTTGCAAACGCTCTTGCCTCCGTAAAAAGAAGCGTTAATGTGCCCCCACAAGGGAAAAGACTCTTTTTACCTTCTGGCATCACTGTCCTCCATTTTTAACCTTGTAATGGTGCTTGAAAAATCTGTTCTTCTGAGCACCCTTGTCTTCTCCTGCGCTCAGACTTGCTCTTTCAACAGCATGCAAACTGGGCTGAAATAAACAGTCTAAGAAGAGGTTATTACAGCTGCAAAATAAATAAGGAATGCCACAACGAGCCTGCTATTCAATGCAGAAATCCCCACGTCTCCTGGGGTTTGATACAGCCTGTACAGTGTCTTCTAGCAGCCACAGGAAAAGCAGCCCGGGTCTCTGTTCACCCATGGCCACACACCAACACAGAGCTCTCAGGGGCTCACAACCATGCAGGGCACAGGAGAAACCTGGGCAGAGCTCACCCTGTCCATACGGAAACCTGAAATCCAGTCTGAGCTCAGGACAAGAGACACTCTCCTACTACTTGGTGGCCCACAAGATCTTTGCCCTTGGGCTAGCAGAGACCGAGCGTCACCCCTTGCCTTGCCAGCTGGCAGAGAAGAGCACAACATTTAGGTGTCCACCAAATGCCATTAGCTGCTGAACGTTGGTGCTGTCTCTTCCTCTTTCTTTGTGTGGTGCTTCCGCATGCTCACAACACCCTTAGATGCCGGCCGAGACGATGCAAGCGTTCCTGGCATTATGTGGGTGCCGCAGCTCGGGCCCGACCGCTGGCACTGCCCCTTGTCCCCGGGGTACCGGCACAGAGCAAACAGGCTGCGCTGCCCCTGTCCGCTCCCACTGCTCTGCCTAATCCCAGCCATCCCGAGAGGCGAGGCAGCTATTCTTAGCCTCTGTGTCCCAGCGGGAAAGCGCCGTCTGGCCCAGAGCTCCAGCTCGGCTCCCTCCTCCCCAGGAGGAGCGGGAAGAAGCTTTATCTGCCGGCCAGCAACCACACGGGACCGGGAGCCACACGCGAGAGCGACAGGACGACCAGCTTTGCTGCAGGGAGACGTCCACAGCTCTGTCCCGCTCCGGCTTCCCGCGGCCCAGGGCTCCCACGCAAGCCGAGCAGCTCTCCCTGCCCACATGCTCTGGGGCAGCCTGGCGTCCCAAATAAGGCTGGGCAAACACGAATCCTGCCCATCGAGGAGGAGACAAAGCGCTCCTGAACTTTCCCAAGCGCAGCATCCTCTCCTGCTGTTTCACTCCATCCCAAAGGCCTCAGCAGCCCAACGATGCTTTTCAAAGCCAAGAGATGCCCAAGGGTGCTCTATGGTTCACGTACCTGGCACTATTAGTGGCAGGCCAAAATCCATTCATGCCAGCTCCAAAACGTGAGTCAGCCTCCCTACTTCCCATAGTGCAGAAAACTCCTTGCTCACGATTACAGGCTGAGAAGTTCTCCCCAAGCTAAAACAGCATCTGCTAGCACTGCCTGTGGCACGTCCCCTGCAGCGCTACTCTTAAATAGTAGGAAAGGTTCTTAAAATAATGTTCATGAAAGCTCAGATCCACCTGTCAAAAATCCCCGAGCCCTGATGCCAAAGCAGTTACATCCCATTTCATAAATCTCTCCGCATGACACCTGTTTGATCTTTGACAGCACGTGCTTGCAGAGAATCGGAGGCATTCAAAGACACAGAGATGGAAATAAAGTCAAGGACGAGCCTTTATGCTCATAGAAAGGAGCTCGAACAACTGATATATTTAACTCTGACAGCAGGCAGCTCTGCTTTCCAGGTGTGCCGCACTGTCACATATAGGTCTTCCAGTCATAGTTACCTGAGACCTCAAGGTACCAAGACCTCCCAAAGCCAGAACCAACGCTGAGAAGCCCAACGCAAGAGGCACTTGATGACATCATGCCACCCTATAGACTCAAATATGTGGGCTATTCCCACCTGGGTGGTCCCAACTACGTCTAACTGAGGCTGAAAACATCAAGGATGAAGATCCTCCATCTCTGAGGACTGTTTCTGGGATGCCATCCTTCTAAGGAAGGAGATTTCCCCACTGCCTGACCTAATCCAGACACGCAACGATACGTACGTGCCCTCAGGACTGTTCCTACCTCACCTTCTCCACAGAAGCCCCCTGTCCAGCTCCTCACCCATCACCTGCTGGGCTACGTGCTTGAGTGGAGGATCCTGGAGATCTGGCGATAAAAGCCAAGACGAGCTTCAGCCAATTAAGTGCCCAAATTTGCAAGGAAGGCAGATAAACGGAAAGGTTATCTCAGCACCAGGAGAGCCTTCGGAGCAAACATTCCCAGGGGAGCCCATCACATAGGCAGCCGCCACAACAGGCCCCGCAGTCCTTGGACATTGAACCAAGGGAAGAAAGAGAGCAGGAAAAAAAAAAAAAAAAAAAAGACCTCTTTCAAATTCTTTAAAACCCGATTTGCAGCCTGCCTGCCTTTGGGAGACGGCCAAGTCATCTGGGTGAAACGGGCACTTCCCTGCTTGTGGCCGAAAAGGAGGGAGAAAAGGCAGTTCATGACCTGCCCTCCCTTGGTGCAAGGTGCCACAGGAGAAACGCCCAAGAGCAACAGTGTGGATTTAAAGAGGTTTTCACGGAACAAACCCTACCTTCCCCACACGCAACATACCATCCCCTGCACCTGGCCGGAGACAGCCCAATCCCTTGTGATAGGCTGGGGGCAGGAAATCTCTTGCACAATCTCTTGCATTTCCATCCCTACTAGTAGATGTCACCTATGCAAAACTTGCCCACAAACACCCAAACTCCTGTGGCGTGGGATGCACCGCCAGCTCCGAGATCTCCCGGGCAAACCCTGCCTGGCCATGCTGGGAGCAGAGGCACCAGACGGAGGGGGCGGTGGGTGACCAGCCACTTCAGCTCTGAATAACCCCTGTTAAAGCAGCTCCTGGCCTTCACTCTGCTGTTCTGGACAACCTCCAGGAACTTAAAATAGTTGATTCAGGATTTCACATTGGAATAATTTTCCCTCTCTGGAGACCTCTAAGAGGGACTTTGTTTCAGCAGCCCTTAGGGAACTGTTACCGCCAGCACCCATGCAACAGAAAGCAGGGTCATAAATCCAGCTCGGGCCATTTCTGTGACTCCTCCAAATATTCCCAGACATGCTCTGGGCATCCTTGTTAACCCGCGGATGGCCAGGCCAGACACACACCAAATCAGGCCTGTGCACGCTGCCCTGCTCAACTTCCCCACTGGGCTCTCGCACAGGGGAGCAGAGGAGCATCGGGGCCCTCGTGCCCTTGCCTGCTGCCATGTGTCGTGTTGCAGGCTACAACCCCACTGCTAGACCGTGACCCCGAGCGCGACACAGCCCTGAGCAGTACCAGCCTCGGTGCACATGTATCCGAGCTATTCCTAGACGGCAGAAAGCCTCGCTCCTGTAAATAATCCACCAATTTCACAGCCCAGCGCATGCCTGTGACTTCCAACTCATTTATAGCCGGGCTGCCCCTTGCCAACCCGCGTCACGCACTACCCAGCACAGAGCTGAAAGACGGCACGTGAGCGATGCCCCTTCACTTGCTGTAGGGGCTGCAGCACATGACACAGACAGGAGCCAACTGGAACATCTCCCTGAAGAAGAGGCGCCCGTGCCGCTTTCTCTGTCACCAGAGCGCTGGGGCAATCAGAGAAGCTCAGCACCTTCTGCAAACTGAGCAAAATCCTTGTGAAAACACTTCCACCTGGGGATGTTTACCACTGCCTCCATCCAGGTGCCAAGACTATTGCTAACAAGCCAAGGACGCCCGATGCTCCCTCCCTTCACCTGGCCGATCTGGGGAGGTGCTCAGCAGCCCCGGGGCTGGCTGCTCTCATGCCCTCCATAGTGTGAGTCTCACCCAACCCAGTCCAGCCACCTGAACGGCATAAGGGAGATCCCCAGGAGCCTCCCGAGCCGCGAGCAGGTCAAGGGCTCGCCTTGTCAACAGCCACTCTCTCTGCCTGCCATGGATTTGGCACACGCTCACACACACTGGCCGCGGCTGCAAGGGGTGCAGGGTTTTAAACCCGCCTGGCAGCCAGGAGGAAGCTTTCCTAGGAGGGCAGGGAAAGTTCATCATGCAAACGGACCAGGAGACTGCATGGGGTTGTGCTCCAAGTCCTGAAGGCAGGGGAAAGCCCCTATCAAGGCAGCATGGGAGGCGTTGCACCTCTGGGGCACGTGCAGAGGCTTTCTGCAGCCCGCTGTGCTCCCAAGCACACGCAGCCACAGGCATCCCAGCAATACAACAGTGAGCACAAGAGCCCAGTCCTGCTGCTCTCCGTGTCCGTGTTTGCCACGCACGAACTGGAGCCACAGCCACGTGTTTCACCTGGGGTTTTACCCCAAGTGGGAGATGCAACCCGTGCCCAGCCCACAGCAGCGCAGGTTTTGCAGTCACTTCTCCCTGGAGCAGCAGGAGAAGGGAGGCTGGAGGGGAGACAAAAGCAGCACCCACCGCCCCCCAGGCACAGCAGGAGGAACCTCTCTGCAGCCCAGCAGTCCCCCCCACCCTGCTCCCGGGTCCCGCTCACGTTACCGGGCTCCTGGAAAGTGGCGGGGACCAGCAGGACAAAGAGCCCGAGCAGCAGCGGCCGCCGCAGGGGACACCTGCAAGGGAAGCAGGGACCAAGCGGTTACACCTCCCTGCAGCTCCGCACTCTCGGCGCAAGCCGGAGCCCCCCGCCCCGGGGGCAGCCTCGCACAC